ACCTTCACTACATCACTGTGTACCCTTCACTACATCACCGTGTAACCTTCACTACATCACCGTGTACCCTTCACTACATCACTGTGTACCCTTCACTACATCACCGTGTACCCTTCACTACATCAACGTGTAACCTTCACTACATCACCATGTAACCTTCACTACATCACCGTGTAACCTTCACTACATCACCGTGTAACCTTCACTACATCACCGTGTAACCTTCACTACATCACTGTGTACCCTTCACTACATCACCGTGTAACCTTCACTACATCACCATGTAACCTTTCACTACATCACCGTGTAACCTTCACTACATCACCATGTAACCTTCACTACATCACCGTGTAACCTTCACTACATCACCGTGTAACCTTCACTACATCACTGTGTACCCTTCACTACATCACCGTGTAACCTTCACTACATCACCATGTAACCTTTCACTACATCACCGTGTAACCTTCACTACATCACCGTGTAACCTTCACTACATCACCATGTAACCTTCACTACATCACTGTGTAACCTTCACTACATCACCGTGTAACCTTCACTACATCACCATGTAACCTTCACTACACCACTGTGTAACCTTCACTACATCACTGTGTACCCTTCACTACACCACCGTGTAACCTTCACTACATCACCGTGTATTCTTCACTACATCACTGTGTAACCTTCACTACACCACCGTGTATTCTTCACTACACCACCGTGTAACCTTCACTACATCACTGTGTAACCTTCACTACACCACTGTGTAACCTTCACTACATCAACGTGTAACCTTCACTACATCACTGTGTACCCTTCACTACACCACTGTGTACCCTTCACTACATCAACGTGTAACCTTCACTACATCACTGTGTAACCTTCACTACATCACTGTGTACCCTTCACTACATCACTGTGTACCCTTCACTACACCACTGTGTACCCTTCACTACATCAACGTGTAACCTTCACTACATCACTGTGTACCTTTCACTACATCACTGTGTACCTTTCACTACATCACTGTGTACCCTTCACTACACCACTGTGTACCCTTCACTACTTCACTGTGTAACCTTCACTACATCAACGTGTACCCTTTACTACATCACTGTGTACTCTTCACTACATCAACGTGTAACCTTCACTACATCAACGTGTAACCTTCACTACATCAACGTGTACCCTTCACTACACCACCGTGTAACCTTCACTACATCACTGTGTACCTTTCACTACATCAACGTGTACCCTTCACTACATCACTGTGTACCTTTCACTACATCAACGTGTAACCTTCACTACATCACTGTGTAACCTTCACTACATCACTGTGTACCTTTCACTACATCAACGTGTACCCTTCACTACATCAACGTGTAACCTTCACTACATCAACGTGTACCCTTCACTACACCACCGTGTAACCTTCACTACATCACTGTGTAACCTTCACTACATCACTGTGTACCCTTCACTACATCAACGTGTAACCTTCACTACATCAACGTGTAACCTTCACTACATCAACGTGTACCCTTCACTACACCACCGTGTAACCTTCACTACATCACTGTGTACCCTTCACTACATCACCGTGTAACCTTCACTACACCACTGTGTACCCTTCACTACACCACTGTGTACCCTTCACTACATCAACGTGTAACCTTCACTACATCAACGTGTAACCTTCACTACATCACTGTGTAACCTTCACTACATCACTGTGTAACCTTCACTACATCACTGTGTACCCTTCACTACATCAACGTGTAACCTTCACTACATCAACGTGTAACCTTCACTACATCAACGTGTACCCTTCACTACACCACCGTGTAACCTTCACTACATCACTGTGTACCCTTCACTACATCACCGTGTAACCTTCACTACACCACTGTGTACCCTTCACTACACCACTGTGTACCCTTCACTACTTCACTGTGTAACCTTCACTACATCAACGTGTACCCTTTACTACATCACTGTGTAACCTTCACTACATCAACGTGTAACCTTCACTACATCACTGTGTAACCTTCACTACATGAACGTGTACCCTTCACTACATCACTGTGTACCTTTCACTACATCAACGTGTACCCTTCACTACATCACTGTGTAACCTTCACTACATCACTGTGTACCTTTCACTACATCAACGTGTACCCTTCACTACATCAACGTGTAACCTTCACTACATCAACGTGTAACCTCCACTACATCACCGTGTACCCTTCACTACACCACCGTGTACCTTTCACTACATCACTGTGTACCCTTCACTACATCACTGTGTACCCTTCACTACATCAACATGTACCCTTCACTACATCAACGTGTAACCTTCACTACATCACTGTGTACCCTTCACTACATCACCGTGTAACCTTCACTACATCACCGTGTAACCTTCACTACATCAACGTGTAACCTTCACTACATCAACGTGTAACCTTCACTACATCACTGTGTACCCTTCACTACATCACCGTGTAACCTTCACTACATCACCGTGTACCCTTCACTACATCACCGTGTAACCCTCACTACATCACTGTGTAACCTTCACTACATCACCGTGTAACCTTCACTACATCACTGTGTACCCTTCACTACATCACCGTGTACCCTTCACTACATCACTGTGTACCCTTCACTACATCACCGTGTACCCTTCACTACATCACTGTGTACCCTTCACTACATCACCGTGTACCCTTCACTACACCACTGTGTACCCTTCACTACATCACTGTGTACCCTTCACTACATCACTGTGTACCCTTCACTACACCACTGTGTAACCTTCACTACATCACCGTGTATCCTTCACTACATCACTGTGTAACCTTCACTACATCACTGTGTACCCTTCACTACATCACTGTGTACCCTTCACTACATCACTGTGTAACCTTCACTACATCACTGTGTACCCTTCACTACACCACTGTGTACCCTTCACTACACCACTGTGTACCCTTCACTACACCACTGTGTACCCTTCACTACACCACCGTGTACCCTTCACTACATCACCGTGTACCCTTTACTACACCACCGTGTACCCTTCACTACATCACCGTGTACCCTTTACTACACCACTGTGTACCCTTCACTACACCAAGGTGTACCCTTCACGACACCACTGTGTACCCTTCACTACATCACTGTGTAACCTTCACTACATCACTGTGTAACCTTCACTACACCACTGTGTACCCTTCACTACATCAACGTGTACCCTTCACTACATCACTGTGTACCCTTCACTACATCACTGTGTAACCTTCACTACATCAACGTGTAACCTTCACTACATCAACGTGTAACCTTCACTACATCAACGTGTAACCTTCACTACATGACTGTGTACCCTTCACTACATGACTGTGTACCCTTCACTACATCAACGTGTAACCTTCACTACATCAACGTGTACCCTTCACTACATCACTGTGTACCCTTCACTACACCACTGTGTACCCTTCACTACATCAACGTGTAACCTTCACTACATCACTGTGTACCCTTCACTACATCACCGTGTACCCTTCACTACACCACTGTGTACCCTTCACTACATCACTGTGTAACCTTCACTACATCAACGTGTAACCTTCACTACATCAACGTGTAACCTTCACTACATCACCGTGTACCCTTCACTACACCACCGTGTATTCTTCACTACACCACCGTGTAACCTTCACTACACCACCGTGTATCCTTCACTACACCACCATGTACCCTTCACTACATCACCGTGTACCCTTCACTACATCACTGTGTACCCTTCACTACACCACCATGTACCCTTCACTACACCACCGTGTACCCTTCACTACATCACCGTGTACCCTTCACTACATCACCGTGTACCCTTCACTACACCACTGTGTACCCTTCACTACACCACTGTGTACCCTTCACTACACCACTGTGTACCCTTCACTACACCACCGTGTACCCTTCACTACATCACCGTGTACCCTTTACTACACCACCGTGTATCCTTCACTACACCACCGTGTACCCTTCACTACATCACCGTGTACCCTTCACTACACCACTGTGTACCCTTCACTACACCACCGTGTACCCTTCACTACACCACTGTGTACCCTTCACTACATCACCGTGTACCCTTCACTACACCACTGTGTACCCTTCACTACACCACCGTGTACCCTTCACTACACCACTGTGTACCCTTCACTACATCAACGTGTAACCTTCACTACACCACTGTGTACCCTTCACTACATCACAGTGTATCCTTCACTACATCACAGTGTATCCTTCACTACATCACAGTGTATCCTTCACTACACCACCGTGTATCCTTCACTACACCACTGTGTACCCTTCACTACATCACCGTGTACCCTTCACTACATCACAGTGTATCCTTCACTACATCACAGTGTATCCTTCACTACATCACAGTGTATCCTTCACTACACCACCGTGTACCCTTCACTACACCACTGTGTACCCTTCACTACATCACCGTGTACCCTTCACTACACCACTGTGTACCCTTCACTACACCACCGTGTACCCTTCACTACACCACTGTGTACCCTTCACTACATCACCGTGTACCCTTCACTACACCACTGTGTACCCTTCACTACACCACCGTGTACCCTTCACTACACCACTGTGTACCCTTCACTACATCACCGTGTACCCTTCACTACACCACTGTGTACCCTTCACTACACCACCGTGTACCCTTCACTACACCACTGTGTACCCTTCACTACATCAACGTGTAACCTTCACTACACCACTGTGTACCCTTCACTACATCACAGTGTATCCTTCACTACATCACAGTGTATCCTTCACTACACCACCGTGTATCCTTCACTACACCACTGTGTACCTGGAACATTGCTGAGTGCGGCGTTAGACAACAAAGAAACTTAACTGAACCGGTCTACAGTTTGATATAACGTGAAGATATAGATACCTACCACACCGGCTTCTTCATCCCTGGCGAGGTACACCCGTACAGCAACATGTGGTGGGCGATGTTCATGTTGGCGTTGGGGATGAAGCCAGCTGGGGGTGAGAGGGGGCAGATTAATGTAGGGAGGCTTACATATGTGAGGTTCTGAAAATACTGGGTACACAATAAACATATAATGCATGAATTAATCGAATTTCTTCCCTGTTACAACGCATAGCGTGTTGTAATAACATACTGCTGGGGAAAACCGAATAATAGAAATTTAAACAAAGTGCCAAGGCACTGTAGCTCTCCACAACATGGGTGACATGCGTCACATGCGTCACATGCAGTGAAGTCTGTAGCAATTGAATAAGAAAAAAGCTGGCATTGTGGTTTCTGAGATTATGAAACCTAAAGATTATCCACAGTTTGAACAATATTGTTTCATCCAGGTCGCATTAGGGTTCTACAAATCCTCGTGACGTGCCAGTTCTCTGGGTCATGTGGTTTTGGAGAACGATTAAGTAACCTGTTCCCTATTAACTGTTGTGAAAGGTTCCATTGTCCTTCTACTCATCATAATACATTTTGAAAGTTTCATAGTAAAAGACGGACAGACAGTCCACAGACATACCATAAGCTCACATCGACCTTTGGTCGTGCGAAGCTAGAACATTGATATCATGCCGACCACAAGCAATGATTTGGTGGAGTGGAAATGTTTCAACTTACTTATGTATGTCGCCGATGAATTCAGCTTCATCCCGTGACAGAGGTACGTGTCCGGCTGAGACAGAGACAGTGTTAATATCCGATTAGCATGTACTTGGATTATATGGATGTGTCATACCAAGACTCAATCTTTGACCCGAGTGTAAGGAAACAGGGTTCTTATCTCACCCTTGTTGAGTAAGTGTGAGTTATCGAGTGAATTTTGTATTACTTTACTATTTCCTCCACAATTAGTTCTGGGCTAGGTAATCCCGTGACTGACTACACAACGTCTGGGTGCGGAGACACGCCATCGGTAAAGCATTGTAACCATTGTAGTTCCAATAGCGTCTAGCAAAACGGATAAGTGATATGATTGTTACACCACTTTGGACAATCTTCCCAATTATTGTTCACATGCGGGAATAGTGTGTGTGAGTTACTACTTGCCCCTTATCTCCTAATTATTGTCGTAATAAGAATATTGTATGAGCTAAAACAATTAAATGTTCTTGGTTCTTACACAATCTTTCTTAGCATAGTACATGTTTAAAGTGACTTGGATTGTTCCAGGCGTGTGTGTACTGTGTGTATGTTCTACTTACAACTTTAGGCTGTACGTGGGGCATGAGCAGGTCGATTTGCTTGGGCGTGTCGGGGGCAGGAGCTGAAAAGGCCCCCACACAGAGTCCCAACACCAGACTGATGACCACCAAGGCCATTGGGCTGAAACAAACAAACAAACACACTCACAATAACGGAAATAAAGATAGAACCTATGGATGGAACACTCGGATAGAATACACAAACACAATAGCGAGACCCCAACTGATGACGGCGGGCAGGGGAATGAAAAATAGCGATTCCAGATACACCTTTATAATGAAACCTGATTAAACATGATTGAGATTAATGTTTGATCTCACATTGATCTTAACATCATAAACAGTCATTGAAGTATCGTCCTGGCTTTGATAGAGCTACGCAGCAATACATGCAAGTCTGTATATTTTCCAAAATAGGATATTAACTGACAGTCACAATCCATGGCCAAGGAAACAATGAAGGACGAACAACTAATAAACTCCTGCAGGGGTTATCACGACTCTACTCTTGGATGCAATAATTATTAGCAGCCTGATCATACCTGACATGCGAGTTTCTCTCCAGCATAATTACGTTATGCCAATAAACCTAGGGTTGGAATAGCATAAACTGTGCTTTGTTAGAATTCTTTCTAAATGTGAAAATATAACAACAATGGAAAGTTTCCATGTAAACCTTAATAGGTGGATATTGAGATCATAAGAAGACGGCAAAACAACATGTATAATGTCCATGACGTTGACGTTACGAGTACAAATGGAGGGGCAGGTATCAAACAACAATGTCACAAACTCAGTGACTGGTATGCCCACCGTGAGCAGCGATATCAGCACTGCATCGTCGACACAAATGGGCATTAAGGGCTTGTAGTATGGCTTGCCATATTACCTGAAACTCTGCTGCCAAATAACGAACGTTATCAGGCGGATTTGGTACACGGGGTAGACGTCGCTCCATTTCATCCCACACATGCTCTTAAGGGAAAGATCCTTTGAATTTTCAGGCCATAGCAACACTTGCCGTGTGGGCATTATCCTGTTGGAATGGCAATCCTGGGACATGACGTTGAAGAAACAGAATTGCCACTGGTCTGAGAATCTGATCTCAGCCCACACCTGTCAAATTGCCCAGAACAACAATTGACCCGTGAAGATCCGGGGTAGAATAGGTCTACAGCAAACCATGCTTGCCGTAAAATGCGAATATGCTTGTCGTAAGAGGCGACTAACGGGATCGGGTGGTCAGGCTCGCTGACTTGGTTGATCCCAATTGCGTGGATCGATGCTCATGATTGTCTGGTCCAGACTCGATTATTTACAGACCGTCGTCATATAGATGGAATATTGCTGTGTGTGGCGTAAAACAACAAACAACCAAACTCAACAACTAAAGGGGTTCTCTGACGTGCACTTTTCCCACCCCAAATCACCATGGAACCACCCCTAAAGCGGTTTCTCTCCATGATAAAGGCTTGAGCATAACGATTTCGGCACCATCTTTGACGGTTTTGTTGATGACGTTGCGTCAGGAAAGGTCTTATCCCGTAATGACGTAAGCGGTTCCTGGCAGTGTTGGGGTGGATAGACCGAAGTCCTGGAATGGTCTGGGCAGGAGCCTGGAACCTGTGCCGGAGATGGGTCATCCGTGTGCACATGTCCTGTCTTGGCGTTGGTACGTCCTGCACATGGGCGATCGGCAACTTCATTATTGTTCTGCTAACGTCTCAGGAGTGCTGAATTGGTGTTTCGGTGGCAATAGAAAAGCGCTCCTACCTGACGTTGGGACATTCCCCCACGGACAATCTCGTGACGTTGTGCAGTCGTGAGTCGTGGCATGATGTGCGGTTCATTTAGGTTTTTGAACGATCAAACGTCAAACAAGTAAGCTTCCCAAATCGACAGCAGTTTTTGACATGCATGTGCTCCACGCAGTGTATCGAGATGCACATACACAAACGTGTTGCACGTGCCCATACGGAAACCACTGACGTCACAAAACGTAACACACGCATATTTGTTCAGTTCATGTCACTAATTACCGTGTTTACATCTGTATTTGTGTATACGTGTAGTTCCAATATATATATAAAATTTTAACATTTTGACCATTTATCATTGTGGGCCCTTATTGTGTATTTAAACAGTAATGGCCACGTATTGTCTTCAGATAACACCCGTTTTTGTGCAGGTGAATCGATCAAAATCATGTGCACCGCACTATAGTTGCAAAAGTGTTTTTTCACGTGCAACTGGTCACGTGGCCATAATACCGCACGTGTTTTCAGCCATACTTGTAAGCAGTCATTAACAAAAAAAGAAAAACACAAGAAAACAAAAGTCTTTACGGCCATTTGTCATGCCACGCCTTTCAACTGTGCAACGTGAACGTGCCATCGGCATGTTGCAGACGGGAACGTCCGTAGCTGAAGTCGCAAGGACGATGGGTTGTAGTCGACGGACTGTTTATCATTTACAGACGCGTCTACAGCAAACGGGTACCACTGCTGATCGCCCTCGGCCAGGTCGACCACGTGTGACGTCACATGCAGAGGATCGTCAGATTGTCTTACGTCACCTCCGTAACCGATTTTTGACGGCTACATCAACCAGAAATGAACTGTTTAGGGGTAGAATGAGTGTGCAAACTGTTCGAAACCGTCTGAGAACTGCTCACCTTCAAGCACGACGGCCATACTGCGGGCCGATTCTGACTCAATTACACAGACGTCAACGTCAATTGTGGGCACAGCGACACTTACGATGGACTCAGAGGAATTGGAATCAAGTCGTCTTCAGTGATGAATCCCGATTTAATCTTCGATTTGCTGATGGTAGGGCGAGGGTGTGGAGGCGCCGTCATGAACGTTACGCCCAGTGTTGTGTACAGGAAGTTGACAGATTTCGAGGCGGAAGTGTCATAGTGTGGGGTGGCAATGCACGTTCCAGGCTTCTTGTCATCCGTGGCAACCTCAACGCTGCTGCTTACCGCGACCAGGTACTGGCACCAGAACTTCTGCCTTTTATGGCAGCACACGGACCCGGTTTGATCTTCCAACACGACAATGCCAGACCCCACACAGCAATTTTGACAAAGGAATTTCTTTCAGAATGCGGGAGTCAACGTCATGGACTGGCCGTCAAGGTCTCCCGATCTCAATCCCATCGAACACGTCTGGGATGCTCTTGGCAGAAGTCTGCGCACTCTCCAGAACCGACCACAGAATTTGCAAGATCTTGGCACCATTTTGCAGCAACAATGGCGTCGTCTTCCCAATCATGTGTTCACAAGCATCACAAGGTCCATGTGGAGGCGTTGTGTGGCAGTTGTCAACGCACATGGTGGCCATACACGCTACATGACTTGTGTACCATCAGATTTTCGTGCTTGGGACTTATGATTTAAACTGTTGATGTTATAACCGAATACCGTAGGTGCTTGGAACAAATTATGGTTACCACCGTTAATTAAAATCCTTCTTTTGACATTAATGATTAAAAATTACCTTATACATTGATTTCCTATGTGCACAGTTTATTTGTGTGGCGAGTAGATGATAATTTCACGCTGAAGGCAATACAGTTGTTGGGCCTCTGGTAACATAATTCTAATGTTCTTAATGTTGGGTGGAGTTGTTCGTGACATTTATTGGTTTCAAATAACTGTAACAGTATGTCAGTCAGAGATAACGTTTGCAGAGACTTGGTGTCATGGTGATGTTACATTGCTTCTTACTTGTACGTCGTACGCTGCCACTTCTAACTTAAAATGTAGATATGCTGGATGGATTTTTTATATGCGTTTGCAAAAACACTACAATTTGTTGTGGCATTAAGGAATGATGGTATTACGTGTAACATCTTACAAATACGTGGATGTGACTTTTTCCTGGACACACTACCAATACAGCATTGCAAGCTACGCTAACACAGTACTGTGTATTAAAACCTCTTGGGAAACCTGAACCCATTCCATACTAACGATTATTAAAGGTTTGTATTGCTAAAGTCGACCCTATATTGTTTTATTGCGCTGAAGTACGGAGACTAAATTCTTGTAAAGATCTGCAATATGTTTGCAAGCTTGCAATCAAGCGATGGTTGGGTATCAACCAAGCCCGGAGTTGTGGGGTGGAATGTGGCAGGTTATATATTATTGTGAAAAGGTATGTATACAATATTGGTGTTAACACCTTTCCTGACTAAAACCCGTACAACATGGCGTACCTGGCAACAACTGATGGAACAGTAGCTGGGTGTGCAACATTCGGTTTAGGATGCGATGGAAAGCGATTGGATTTTCCCGAATTCGTATTACGCGACAAATGAGCCTCTTTACCGGGCCATCACCAATTAATAGTTCTAAAATGTATTTTTACGTATAAGATATTGTTTTGATTATCACATCGTAACACCACTTACAGCCAATATAAGTTTATGTTAAAGTATGCCGTCATGATGAGGAAATATTCAGCCAGGTTTGTTGAAGAGTAGCGGTGATATGCTTCCAATATATACACTTCAGATTACATAGACTACAGAATGTGTGTAAAATGTATAAAGAACGTTTCAATGTATATCATGCGAGGAAGGAAAACAATCGAATCAATGCGACGATAACAGTGTACTGAAATTATCGCCCCAAAAGTCTGTAAGACTGTTCCAGCATGTTTGAAAGAAATGACATTTTCAAACTAAACTGTTTGTACAGTAACGTCACGTGGGGTGGGGCTGGTCGGGTTGTGGAAATCTGTCCCATACCATCTTGAGGTTATATTTTAAGTTGTACATTTAAATGCCTATACACTGGGACCTTCTTTCTTTATTTTACATTTCAGTGAAATTGCAGTGTAATTTTAGTCTTTGGGGTTATAATGGAATACTAACAAAAAACGTGGAGTGACTATACCCCCACCGCCCCCAACACACACGATGACAAGGTTTTTTCACTTAATTTACTGTGAAATCAAAATTTTAAAAGTTTCAATTGACATAATCTTGAACTGAATAATAACAATACCACTTGTCTTATTCAGGAACATATTAAGTAAACTTAAACTAGGAAATCGAAATTATGACAAGAACAATCAACTAACGTATTGTTTTGATTTGACATCATTATAAATGTCTTCTACTCGGTAACACGTCAGGCGAAAGTAGACTAGGAAATCAAAATTATGACAAGAAAAACCAACTAACGTACTGTTTTGATTTGACATCATCATAAAAAAACTGTCCTTATCAGGCAATTTTTTGTGCAGAATGAACGTCTATGTCAGTGACTACCCCTTATGGAAACAGTCAACTGACAGTGTCAATATAGCAACAGACGTCAGAAAAGATCCCATATGGTGGCAACATCGACTCTATCGCCCTCTGTCCCAGCCCTCGTACACAGCTAGGGTTATCTGCCACTATGTGGTGTTCAATTTCTCATAATACACAGAGTCAATTCAATAACATGAGTTAGGAAATCAACACAAACAACCTCACCACCATTGTATTATTTACCACATAGATTTGCCATACACTCACCTGTCTTTTGGAAGTGACTTGCAACTGATTGGCCTAGATAATAATCCGCGATAAAGGTAATCTCCTGACTTTAACTGACAAACAGATGTTTCCAACACAACACGAGATTATATAGTCCCAGCTACGTGCAGGTTAGCGTGCTTCGTCCACTGTGTCACAGTCGTACAACCCCAGGGTTCCGCCCTATGAAGGAAGAGCCACACGGAATTAATGAATATTTGACGCAACCCGTTGCTCTGGCAACGGCCAATCGGAGATGACGCCTCTCTAAACTTGTCAATGAAAAATCGATGCAATCTCTCCTGGTTGTCTTGAAGTCTACTAGTATAACAACCAAGTGGTTCCTGGGTTTATGATTCGGGGAGGAGGATAAAAGAGCGGGCAAATTGTTAACGTTCGGTTATCTGGTAAGGGTTTATTAAACAATTGTGTGCGATGACAGGTGTGATGTGAGGTTAATCAGTCGACTCAGAACATCCCCGTATCGATCTGAGCCAGCATGCACTGAGTATTGTCGTTGTTCATAGAGTGTGCTCGCCAACATGCCTTGTCCGCTCAGGCTGACTTTAATACACCTAACTTTCTCATGACATTTATTTGATAACTCTAGCAAATGTGTATTCTTATATTCAGAGTTCATTTTCATAAGATACACACATGACATTTAATTAACATCTGTGTAGAGAGTGAGATCAGATTTCCTGCAGACAGAACAAATCGATCGTTAATCGTACTTGTTGATGTTTACATATATTAAATAAGTCGTGTTTGAAAGGTGCTCTGAGCGACAATGAGAATTTACAAAATCAAAGTTTATATAACGAATGTGTCTTAAGCTAATTGTATTATCATTTTAAAATTTATTTATTTTAAAATCGTATCCTATGTTAAAAACAACGTGGTTTAGGTGACTGGTATAAGTATTTGGGTTATATATGTCTGCAAGGCATTAGACCTGATTTGAGATGGTTGCCTTAGATACAGTTCAATTTCCCTTTGAGGAATGATTTGTTAAATGTCACCGGGTAAATAAATATTTCCATATCCTCTGTGATTCTAATATTGCAGGGTTCACATAACTGCCTACAAGCCTCACTAGGGTGAAGCCACTGAAGGATGGAAGGAGTACTATAGGGTAATACATCGTCGGTAATTTAATATATCTGATTACGGGAGTCAATAGTTATCTGACTAACCGGCAGTATGTCACGCCGGCAGTCGCAGATATACAGTCAAGTCTCGTTTATCCGACAATCGGCTTTATCCGACACAAATGATGGGAACCGATTAAATCAGTGCTGTTTAGACCCGTTAATCCGACAGTCACGCACTCCGACTCAGACACACCTAATTTGCAACGATTTGCTGAAATCACTCATTAATCAGTCTCGTTAATCCGACACGGTGATCAGCGTACTCCATGGTCATCTGCCCGCGAGTACACAGCCCCGTGTTTTGATGCGATTTTGTATGTGGTAGAACATCTGTGCTCACAGATGACAACTACCGCAATTTGCATTTGCCTGATGTGTTTATTATACACAACTTGGTAATCGGGACGGTATTACTGTTACTAAGCTGAGAGCTATGGGGAATTACGGTTTATCTATCCCGAATTATATGAGCAAGTTCCGAACCGTGGCATAGGGGTGATGGGGTAGTCAAGTGGTTAAGCATTCGCTCGTCACAAGAAGACCCGGTATCGAATCCCGTATAAATACACAGTACGGAGCCTGTATTTTTGGTGTCCCCCGGCGTGATATAGCTGGCATATTGTTTAAACTAGAAAAACAACACTCACTAACACTCTGTGTTCTCGGCAGTGTGGGCTCAGGGAATTGTTCAATGTTTTACAGTCACAATGTGATTAGCATCCTATGGAACAGGTACTAACAAACCCAACATGTTGACGATCGACCCCGTTCGGGCGTCCCATGTCAACGTCAAGAGTGCAACCGAGATCAACGAAATTGAGCTCAAACGGCGAATAAATTGCTGCAAACTTCCATCAGGCTACTGGAGTGCGAGTTACGGGTCAGACGATTAGAAATCGTCTACATGCAGCTCATCTCCATGCTCGACGGCCACGTTTTGCCACCCCTTACAAATCGTCATATTGCCAACAGACGTCAATTGTGTACACAATGTCGAAACTGAGGAAAATGTTCACGTCATTTTTTTAGATGACTCTCGATCACTTTGCACTTTCTTGAGAGGCTTGGTCGTGTCTTGCGACTTCGAAATGGACGTCAAGCCAATGTCAACCTCAGACCTCATGACAGATTTGGCAGTGGATCGGTTATGGAGCCACTATGGCTGAACGAACCTCATTCCATTTACGCAAGGAAGGGTCACTGGACAGTACTATCGGGACAACACACTGACACCCTTTGTGAGTCGACGTTTTGTCTTTCAGGACAACGCGCGTGGTGACAGATGCCGGCAGAAACGGGCAAATTCTCAAGAAAATAACTCCAAAAGTGGATCAACCCATGTTTATCAAAGGCAAATATTCTGTATTCAGGAAAACAAAAAAATAGTAGTGTCCATTAATGGAGACGTTGCAAGTCCGAATTTCCAGCGACCACAACACACAGGAACACACACCGCCCTTAAGTGGCAGGTAAACCCTGCCAAACATAATATAGAAAAGTCCCTACTGATGGCAAACAATATTATTTAGTGTCAAGAACAGTAGATAATCGACTTTCTCATGACACAGGCCCTGCAGTCAATCATTGCTCTGTTGGTTGACTGCACAATAAGGAGACATTTCTCTGAAGGTGAAACTTCAGACAGAGCAACTGGTTGGCTAATCTTTTCGACCGTGATTATTACTTGCAAACAGAAATTCAGCCCACTAGTCCTTATAATGATAACATATAGCAAAACCCTTAAAAATGACAAATTTCTACTTGTCTTTATGATACCTAAACTATGGGGCAGTTTGGCAAGGACTACAGGACTAGTGCCAATTTTTAACACTGTTAAACATAGTGGACATATCATGGGTCAAAGTAAAATGTTATTTTGCCCATGATCATGATCTGTCCTGTGAAGATGTGTTAGAATTGGTCTTCAGCAACCCATGCTTGTCGTAAGAGGCGAGTAAGGGGATCGGGTGGTCAGACTCGCTGATTTGGTTGATGCATGTCATCGTATTCCAATTGCGAAGATCAATGCTCAGGACACCAATCACTGGATAGTCTGGTCCAGACTCGATTATTTACAGACCGCCGTCATATAGCTGGAATATTGATGAGTGCAGTGTTAAAAACAAACAAATAAAGAAACTTTGTTACAAAAATGTTAAACTAGTTATCTCTTTTAATCTTTCATGTTTCAAATTCTGTAGAATGCCTGTCACAGCTCATGTACAAGTCATGGTTACAATGATTACTTGCCAACCCACTGCTGCTGGGAACCTGCTGTGCCTTGTAACTTACTTCACACAGTCACACCATGATGATCACACCATGATGATCACACCATGATGGTCACAGCAGATTTCCCCAGCTTCACTTAATCAACACTCCCAGCTGTACTTACAGGGATTCATGTGCAAGTGCACGAAGATCTGCCAATTGTTCAATGGAGGCTTGGTGGTGTAAGAAGTATATTTCTTTCTGTTTACATTACCTACACAATATATATGAATATTATTAAAGTACATGCAGTAGTTGTCAATTGTCAATATTTTGTACATGGTCATAACCTTGTACAAATAGTATAAATCAGACGTGTTTGCACATACTTGCAAACATAGTAGCTGGCGCTATTACTGTCATTTCCTCAAAGCTTCAAGTTTAACTTTAAGTACCAACATGTACTTTCAGTCCAAAAATACATTACTTCAAGACCGTGTCTAATGTTCCAACAATTACCATTGATGATTGATTGATTGTTGTTTAACGCTGCTCTCAGCAATATTCCAGCTATATGACGGGGGTCTAGGAATAATCGAGTTTGGACCTGACAATCCAGTAATTGATAACATGAGCATCGATCCACGCAATTGGGATTGATGACATGCACCAACCAAGTCAGCGAGCCTGACCACCCGATCCGGTTTGTCGCCTCTTACGACAAGCATAATCGCCTTTTACGGCAAGCATGGCTTGCTGAAGACCTATTCTTCCCCGGATCTTAACAGGTTCAACAATTACCAAAGCAAGTAACTGGCAATGATTAAATGATTAAATGTTTTACAATAACCACAAAGATAACCTTGGCTTTGTTAGACACAGCAAAAAATATTAGATGTTTAAGGATTTGTAAAGAGATATAACCAAGCCTCGGATAAGAACATAACTATGTTTACAGAAAGCTGAAAGATGACTTTAAAGTTTGGCTAATCTTGACCAAAACCTATTTACAGCAGGGACCAATCCTAGAAAAGGTATTACCAAGTTTAATGATAAAGTTTCATGTTTTTTCTATCGATTGAATTTGACATTTTCATGACATGTGCCAAAATAATTCTCCAGAGCCATTTGGAAGAAGTCACTGAAAGAATCTCTAATGTCAATGTCTGTGTGTGAAAGTCATTATGAAAACCACTGCTGGAAACGGTCAAATTCCAACAAAAACTTAAAACTGTCCTTTCATGGGGCTGTTTATTATCAGTTGTTAACCATTACAATGATGTCACGCTATTGTTATTGCCATTAGTTCTGAGCCAAGAATTCACTGGCCATTCTGTGAATGCATATTTAACAAGTGAAACTGATGCTACTAGACCTCATTATGCAAAATTACAGTGAAATTATGTCTCAACCATAGCTTGAATGAAAGTCAGGGAAGTCACTGAAATCTGACGATTCCGGAAGTGGAAACAACACGTCCCTTCTCCTGACATCTCCATTACTAAATACAACAGCACAAACTAATGTTAACGAAAATACACTTTTATTTTCATTAATACAAGATAAATATATATCAAACATGAGCACAGAATACCCTGCACAATATACTAGCAGCTGATTTGATAGATTGTAAATTCAATGGTAGTGAAAGCACAACTTTTCACCCTTCACACCCACAAAAACATGTTCATGATGTAGATATTCACCAATGCACTCAAAACACAGTGGTGCACCATAATTTCTTCTTCAAACTATTGAATATAATAAAAAAAACAATCGCCTGTCCAGTTAGCATGATAATTGCACATTGATACAACACAATTCCCATTTAACACATAGTGAAGCACCAACAGGACAGCGTGAACTAAATGAACTAAAACTAAACAAATTATATCCTCAACAAAGCTTTGCTGATATTGACACTTGTTTATTGTAATACAAATTTTACTATCATGATTAATAAAAAAAGAGGACAGTGATACATGAGATATGTGTGGGAACAGTGAGCTACATGAGGTGTGTGGGAACAGTGAGCTACATGAGGTGTGTGGGAACAGTGAGCTATATGAGGTGTGTGGGAACAGTGAGCTATATGAGGTGTGTGGGAACAGTGAGCTACATGAGGTGTGTGGGAACAGTGAGCTACATGAGATATGTGATAACAGTGAGCTACATGAGGTGTGTGGCAAAAGTGAGCTATATGAGATATGTGATAACAGTGAGCTACATGGGGTGTGTGGCAAAAGTGAGCTACATGAGATATGTGATAACAGTGAGCTACATGAGGTGTGTGGCAAAAGTGAGCTACATGAGATATGTGATAACAGTGAGCTACATGGGGTGTGTGGGAACAGTGAGCTATATGAGGTGTGTGGGAACAGTGAGCTACATGAGGTGTGTGGGAACAGTGAGCTACATGAGGTGTGTGGGAACAGTGAGCTACATGAGGTGTGTGGGAACAGTGAGCTACATGAGGTGTGTGGGAACAGTGAGCTACATGAGGTGTGTGGGAACAGTGAGCTATATGAGATATGTGTGGGAACAGTGAGCTACATGAGGTGTGTGGGAACAGTGAGCTACATGAGGTGTGTGGGAACAGTGAGCTACATGAGGTGTGTGGGAACAGTGAGCTACATGAGGTGTGTGGTAAAAGTGAGCTATATGAGATATGTGATAACAGTGAGCTACATGGGGTGTGTGGCAAAAGTGAGCTACATGAGATATGTGATAACAGTGAGCTACATGAGGTGTGTGGCAAAAGTGAGCTACATGAGATATGTGATAACAGTGAGCTACATGGGGTGTGTGGGAACAGTGAGCTATATGAGGTGTGTGGGAACAGTGAGCTATATGAGGTGTGTGGGAACAGTGAGCTACATGAGGTGTGTGGGAACAGTGAGCTACATGAGGTGTGTGGGAACAGTGAGCTACATGAGGTGTGTGGGAACAGTGAGCTACATGAGGTGTGTGGGAACAGTGAGCTACATGAGGTGTGTGGGAACAGTGAGCTATATGAGATATGTGTGGGAACAGTGAGCTACATGAGGTGTGTGGGAACAGTGAGCTACATGAGGTGTGTGGGAACAGTGAGCTACATGAGGTGTGTGGGAACAGTGAGCTACATGAGGTGTGTGGGAACATTGAGCTACATGAGATATGTGATAACAGTGAGCTACATGGGGTGTGTGGGAACAGTGAGCTATATGAGGTGTGTGGGAACAGTGAGCTACATGAGGTGTGTGGGAACAGTGAGATACATGAGGTGTGTGGGAACAGTGAGCTACATGAGGTGTGTGGGAACAGTGAGCTACATGAGGTGTGTGGGAACAGTGAGCTGCATGAGGTGTGTGGGAAGAGTGAGCTACATGAGATGTGTGTGTGGGAACAGTGAACTACATAAGCTGTGTATGGTAAAAGTGAGCTATATGAGATATGTGATAACAGTGAGCTACATTAGGTGTGTGGTAAAAGTGAGCTACATGAGATATGTGATAACAGTGAGCTACATGAGATGTGTGGGAACAGTGAGCTACATGAGATATGTGATAACAGTGAGCTACATGAGGTGTGTGGTAAAAGTGAGCTATATGAGATATGTGATAACAGTGAGCTACATGAGGTGTGTGGTAAAAGTGAGCTATATGAGATATGTGATAACAGTGAGCTACATGAGATATGTCATAACAGTGAGCTACATGAGGTGTGTGGTAAAAGTGAGCTATATGAGATATGTGATAACAGTGAGCTACATGAGGTGTGTGGGAACAGTGAGCTATATGAGATATGTGATGACAGTGAGCTACATGAGGTGTGTGGGAACAGTGAGCTACGTGAGATATATGAAAACAGTGAGCTACATGAGGTGTGTGGTAAAAGTGAGCTATATGAGATATGTGATAACAGTGAGATACATGAGGTGTGTGGTAAAAGTGAGCTATATGAGATATGTGATAACAGTGAGCTACATGAGGTGTGTGGCAAAAGTGAGCTATATGAGATATGTGATAACAGTGAGCTACATGAGGTGTGTGGGAACATTGAGCTACATGAGATATGTGATAACAGTGAGCTACATGGGGTGTGTGGGAACAGTGAGCTATATGAGGTGTGTTGGAACAGTGAGCTACATGAGGTGTGTGGGAACAGTGAGCTACATGAGGTGTGTGGGAACAGTGAGCTATATGAGGTGTGTGGGAACAGTGAGCTACATGGGGTGTGTGGGAACAGTGAGCTACATGAGGTGTGTTGGAACAGTGAGCTACATGAGGTGTGTGGGAACAGTGAGCTACATGAGGTGTGTGGGAACAGTGAGCTACATGAGGTGTGTGGGAACAGTGAGCTACATGAGGTGTGTGGGAACAGTGAGCTACATGAGGTGTGTGGGAACAGTGAGCTACATGAGGTGTGTGGGAACAGTGAGCTACATGAGGTGTGTGGGAACAGTGAGCTACATGAGGTGTGTGGGAAGAGTGAGCTACATGAGGTGTGTGGGAACAGTGAGCTACATGAGGTGTTTGGGAACAGTGAGCTACATGAGGTGTGTGGGAACAGTGAGCTGCATGAGGTGTGTGGGAAGAGTGAGCTACATGAGATGTGTGTGTGGGAACAGTGAACTACATAAGCTGTGTATGGTAAAAGTGAGCTATATGAGATATGTGATAACAGTGAGCTACATGAGGTGTGTGGTAAAAGTGAGCTACATGAGATATGTGATAACAGTGAGCTACATGAGATGTGTGGGGACAGTGAGCTACATGAGATATGTGATAACAGTGAGCTACATGAGGTGTGTGGTAAAAGTGAGCTATATGAGATATGTGATAACAGTGAGCTACATGAGGTGTGTGGGAACAGTGAGCTATATGAGATATGTGATGACAGTGAGCTACATGAGGTGTGTGGGAACAGTGAGCTACGAGAGATATGTGAAAACAGTGAGCTACATGAGGTGTGTGGTAAAAGTGAGCTATATGAGATATGTGATAACAGTGAGCTACATGAGGTGTGTGGCAAAAGTGAGCTATATGAGATATGTGATAACAGTGAGCTACATGAGGTGTGTGGGAACATTGAGCTACATGAGATATGTGATAACAGTGAGCTACATGGGGTGTGTGGGAACAGTGAGCTATATGAGGTGTGTGGGAACAGTGAGCTACATGAGGTGTGTGGGAACAGTGAGCTACATGAGGTGTGTGGGAACAGTGAGCTACATGAGGTGTGTGGGAACAGTGAGCTACATGAGGTGTGTGGGAACAGTGAGCTACATGAGGTGTGTGGGAACAGTGAGCTACATGAGGTGTGTGGGAACAGTGAGCTACATGAGGTGTGTGGGAACAGTAAGCTACATGAGGTGTGTGGGAACAGTGAGCTACATTAGGTGTGTGGGAACAGTGAGCTACATGAGGTGTGTGGGAACAGTAAGCTATATGAAGTGTGTGGGAACAGTGAGCTACATGAGGTGTGTGGGAACAGTGAGCTATATGAGATATGTGTGGGAACAGTAAGCTACATGAGGTGTGTGGGGACAGTGAGCTACATGAGGTGTGTGGGAACAGTGAGCTACATGAGGTGTGTGGGAACAGTGAGCTACATGAGGTGTGTGGGAACAGTGAGCTATATGAGGTGTGTGGGAACAGTGAGCTACATGAGGTGTGTGGGAACAGTGAGCTACGTGAGGTGTGTGGGAACAGTGAGCTACATGAGGTGTTTGGGAACAGTGAGCTACATGAGGTGTGTGGGAACAGTGAGCTGCATGAGGTGTGTGGGAAGAGTGAGCTACATGAGATGTGTGTGTGGGAACAGTGAACTACATAAGCTGTGTATGGTAAAAGTGAGCTATATGAGATATGTGATAACAGTGAGCTACATGAGGTGTGTGGTAAAAGTGAGCTACATGAGATATGTGATAACAGTGAGCTACATGAGATGTGTGGGAACAGTGAGCTACATGAGATATGTGATAACAGTGAGCTACATGAGGTGTGTGGTAAAAGTGAGCTATATGAGATATGTGATGACAGTGAGCTACATTAGGTGTGTGGGAACAGTGAGCTACGTGAGATATGTGAAAACAGTGAGCTACATGAGGTGTGTGGTAAAAGTGAGCTATATGAGATATGTGATAACAGTGAGCTACATGGGGTGTGTGGTAAAAGTGAGCTATATGAGATATGTGATAACAGTGAGCTACATGAGGTGTGTGGCAAAAGTGAGCTATATGAGATATGTGATAACAGTGAGCTACATGAGGTGTGTGGGAACAGTGAGCTACATGAGATGTGTGAGAACAGTGAACTACATGGGATGTGTGTGAGAACAGTGAGCTGCATGAGATGTGTGTGAGAACAGTGAGCTGCATGAGATGTGTGTGAGAACAGTGAGCTACATGAGATGTGTGTGAGAACATTGAGCTACATGAGATGTGTGTGAGAACATTGAGCTGCATGAGATGTGTGAGAACAGTGAGCTACATGAGATGTGTGTGAGAACAGTGAGCTACATGAGATGTGTGTGAGAACAGTGAGCTACATGAGATGTGTGGGAACAGTGAGCTACATGAGATGTGTGGGAACAGTGAGCTGCAAGAGATGTGTGGGAACAGTGAGCTACATGAGATGTGTGAGAACAGTGAGCTACATGGGATGTGTGTGAGAACAGTGAGCTGCATGAGATGTGTGTGAGAACATTGAGCTGCATGAGATGTGTGTGAGAACAGTGAGCTACATGAGATGTGTGTGAGAACAGTGAGCTGCATGAGATGTGTGTGAGAACAGTGAGCTGCATGAGATGTGTGTGAGAACAGTGAGCTACATGAGATGTGTGTGAGAACAGTGAGCTACATGGGATGTGTGTGAGAACAGTGAGCTGCATGAGATGTGTGTGAGAACAGTGAGCTACATGAGATGTGTGTGAGAACAGTGAGATGCATGAGATGTGTGTGAGAACAGTGAGCTACATGAGATGTGTGTGAGAACAGTGAGCTGCATTAGATGTGTGTGAGAACAGTGAGCTGCATGAGATGTGTGTGAGAACAGTGAGCTACATGAGATGTGTGTGAGAACAGTGAGCTGCATTAGATGTGTGTGAGAACAGTGAGCTGCATGAGATGTGTGTGAGAACAGTGAGCTACATGAGATGTGTGTGAGAACAGTGAGCTACATGAGATATGTGTGAGCAAAGTGAGACACATGCAACAGTGTGTAAGAAGTGAGCCACATGTTTTCCCATTGTATTTTTCAGACGTGAATACTCCTACACAGCTTCTAGCCTGTATACCTGACAGAGAGCCACCATGAGACTGAGCACCGGTGTAAGAAGTACAGTGATGATAGGGAGGCTGTAGTACTGTAGATAGTACATGACGTCCCGCACAGGAAGAACACTCAGTATGGACAATGTGCCATGTGTGGTAGGTGGTAAGCAGCGTGTACGCCAATAACTCAGCACTGTATGAAATATCTGGAGGTCAAGGTCAGTGTCCACAAGGTCACCCTGGAAAAAAAGAGTTCATATTGAGCACATAATCAGAGAATGAAACTTACTGTTTTAGTCTACTAGTCCTTATTATTATAAAGTATAGCTAAACCCTTTCCAATGGCAAATTAGTCATTTTGATTGGTCCTTTTGATGCTTTCACTATTGGCCTGTTTGACAAGGACTAGAGGACTAATCCATGTATGCTTAGCAGCCATTGTGAACACTATCCTCATTTCTTGTGGGTGAGTGATGTGGGGTTTCATATGTATTGTAGGCAGTTGGTATCGAAGGCAGGGTATAGGTTTTAACAGGGAGTTTATATATGTCTTATATATTTCCTGAGTTAAATAAGTTAAATATATATATAGATAAATATTCACAGCACTGCCCAATACAAATTATAACAGCAGCTGGACTATTATAACAATGGCCAACAGCACGGAGTCATGTGCAGGTCAGTGGCTCCAAATTAGCGCTAGAGTATGGCCGGTTGGCCACTGAAGCTTGACATCAGGATGAGGTGTAAGATACTGCAGGCTGACCAGAGAGGTATCATATTCGATACGTCAGTGATTTGACTGGTTAAAATAAGAATACTTCCTGTTAGTCAGGACTTGACCTTCTGACAGAGCTAGGCAGGTTGGCTCTCTGACACCTCTGAGATGCTGCCTGGCCATGTCTGTCCCATTACCACAATCGTGATCATATAGATGCTGTAATTATTATATCACAAATAAAGTGTTGTGGACCCACTGATGGACTCCTGTGTTTGAAGAAGGACAGATATCCCAAACTTAACAGCCCGGGATATATGAATCAAGAACTTTACCAGTAACGGCAAATAAGCTAAGGGACACAACTCTACACAGCCAACAAGCTATAGTAGGGAGGCAAGTCTGAGACAGGTGGGCCCTTGGACTTAGTAATGGACTCCTTAATGCATCTGTATCAGACGGTATGACGGTGGGTATCTCATCAGATCTGAAAAAAACCCTCAATAATTATAAACCCTTCTAAAGACAAGTTGTCAAGGAAACTGTATGCTCATAATCACAAAGCGTTGGTTCAGTCTTATTTACAGAAAGAACATGAGAATTGAGGGTAAGTCCCAAGTAAACAAACAGTTAAAAATAGAATATTAGTTTAAGCTAAAATCTTTACATACTGTGTTACCAAGCCAAAGCTGAAAAGCTTGAAAAGTCCCCGTGTCGGGTGTGTCAGACTCAACACTGCATGGGTCAGGCAAGACTGGCTCCCGACAGGAAGACTTCATTTGAGTGGTTACCTGCTGGGCTACTCCCCGAGGGCCAAAGCTACAAATGCCTTCGCAACTTTAAGTGCCACATCATGAAGATAATGGTTGGCGAAAACCGTGTCTGACCTCCAAAAACATCCTTCCATGATTGCTCTAATAGAACAGTTGCTGTGTAGAGCCATGGCTGAGGCAACTGCTCTGATCTTGTGAAGATTTGTTCGCCCTCGTTGGATTAAGGTTAGCGATCTCGTAAGTCTGCAGGATGACTGTGTGTAACCATAGAAATATTGTGTTGCGACTAACTTCGGTCGTGGATGTACGGGATACGGGATACGGGAATGAATAGCAGTTTCCGCGAGAGGCACCTTTTTTAGCAGCGAATGAAAACTTGTAGTGTGTGTACAGGGCACAAGCGGAGTTCACCGTCATCTTTGATCCCTACGATCATAGAGCTTGGTGGAATGGTGAAGGACCTGTAGGGTTGGCCTGGTAGTTGATTTTTCGCAATGAAATCCCAGCACAACCCGAGGTGCAACACCAGCTGACCATGCTCAGAACGGACACGGGTGATGCCAAGGCCACTGCAGGGCAGGTCGTAAATGGATGATCCTCAACACAGCACATTCAAAACCCATGCAGGGGTGACGAAATTTGGGCCTTCTGATCCTCAAGCCTGAAAGAGCGTAGTAGGGCCTGTATACAGTTCCAGGACCTTAGTGATTTTGCAATTCTCCGAAACGTCCAACACTGAATTAAGCGCTACCAAATACTTTGTAATGGTGCTAACTTTCAAGTGTCTTTTGGTACACAAGTGTAAGATGTATTCAGCTAAGAATTGAGGCGATGCTGTTGTGGGATCTTGATTCTTTACCTTACAAAAACTTTCAAATGATTGCCGATTGTCATTGTATAACCCCCCTGGTAGAGGATTTGTTTGATGTTTAACGCCACACTCAGCAATATTCCAGCTATATGACAGCGGCCTGTAAATAATCGAGTCTGGACCAGACAATCCAGTGATTAAAGCATGATCTACGATCCACGCAATTGGGATCGATGACATGAACACCCGATCACGCCTTTTACGACAAGCATAGTCACCTTTTACGGCAAGCATCGGTTGCTGAAGACCTATTCTACCCCGGAATCTTCTTGGTCAGTTGGACGACGAGCAGGAATGTGAATTGGTTGTGAGATCACAATCTGTCACATGATAACGGCAATGGTTCCTGCAAAAAGTAGACTGGCAGAGGAAACAATACTTTTTCTTCACCCAGGACCATCGTGAAGCGGTGTCTTTCTCTGTCGTAAGGTAAGCAGTAGATGCATTAAGGAGCAGGGTAAGTGAAGGACTACTACCATGATCACTCCACATCCATGTTTCGTAAATCTGGAAATGTGTGAATCCATAAGATTTTACTGGGAGCGGTACTGTCGGGATGAACAGGGTTTCACTGTATGCAAATACAAGGAAAGAAGAGAACCACAGTTACTATGACTTGAGAGATGAGCGTGTGTTGAACATGCAGCACATGGAACCAACAACATTTCATAGAATCTTGTTGAATGTTATCTAATCATTTTGTATTTATTGTTAAAATAATAATTACTGCTTGCTAATTCCTATTCTACAGTCTATGATTAATATCATCAACATCATTTACAAACACAAATATACACACAGAGAGTTGAGTTCATGCAAAAAGAAACTCAGAAAATGTATCTGAAAAACTAACTGCACTGTGGGGTAAGCTCTTGAGAATGGAATCTGTTCACTATTTTGTTGTAGCCAGAGACATACAGAATGCAGGTGAGGACTGATAATATTGTTTATGGTTTATAAACAAGTAAACAATAGTAACTTACCAGTGTTTCAGAGAGACGGTGCACATTTGTTTCTACAGCATACTCTAGCTGGTGAGCCAAGACTAACCAATACAACAAGAGTACGGTCCATGTGCCAATCACAGTCAGAAGAGTCACCCTGTAAACAGTGTTGATATGTATAATAAGTCAGGTAAGTATTTGATTCTTATATCTTCATATGCTGGACATATTAATAATGCATGGCATTCATCTTTTTGGTAATATTTACAGGAAGAACACATTGATGTTAAAATATCTTTATCTTTGGAATTAGTAAGATCTAAATATTTTTTACATTTGTATACTTATCCTGCATTACTCCTAAATGCATTTACTGCTTACCTAACGACAAAAGAGACATCGCCAAGCTGGGTCTGCTTTTTGTAGGACCATCACTGCTGTCATGTGACTGGATGTAACTTCGCCAAGCCACTGACAAGAGTGGATGTGGCAGTTGGAGAGCAGGTAGCAGTTTGTTGTCTACAAGGTTGTGAAAGTTGAAAAATCAACTACAGGAGGGCTTTCAGTCGTGTCATGTCGTGTCTGGACAAGACCTGGAAAATAGTGTTTTGTAAGCTAACCACTTCCAGCTCCCATGTACACTAAATCAAAGTGCTCCTCAACCGATCGCCAAGGTACGACGACACACAGGTGCTGCTGTTCTTATATTGAGGTGACGGTGAAGACAGGTGCCTCGTACTCCATGTGTCCCTTGATAATGCGCATGTTGACACCAGTGGTCTACTGAAGTTAGTGACTCGGTTACAATGATGAACAGCAACAGGCATCTAACTGAAAGGTTGCAACCATTTGTACCAGTAAGTAAGCAAACCAATTTGGAACAATGACCCTGCACCGCCCCCATTAGATTAGACCCATTAGACCTAATTCTAGGTTTTTACAGTCAGAGTTCTTAACTGTTGATATTTTATATCACTCTGTGCATTAACCTTGAATCCCCCAATATGCTGAAGGCGAGGTACGAACCCCACACAACGGAGAGTCCATTGTGTTTTGTGGTAAACAGTCAAGATGTGTGACTTGGCCGGTGTAGGCGCAAATTGATCTCCATGATCTCCATCTCCACGCCTGGCGCTGACCTGTTGACAATGATCCCAACAGGTTGGTACAGGGTAGCATATGACGATTCTGTCAAATGTCTAGCTGATCTTGAAAGTGTGAAGCTCTTTAAGTTTGGTACGGCTCATGTCTACCAGATGCCACATGAAACAAATTCAATGAGAGTACTAACCCCTCTCCGTGGAATCATTTAGCCAATGTTGAATGTACACCGCTAGACGGGAGATTTGACAGCAACTTTCACAGATCCTAAGCCTGAGGCCAGGCGCTACCGAAGGTTGAGGAAAAATCAGACCTCCATTTTATGCTGAAAAGTTTACCACTGTCCGTAAGTGGTTTAGACTATTGGCTTTGGTCTCATTGAGGCCCAGAATGAGAATGCCAAAGCTTAAGTGAGTGTCTGACCTCGGCCTCAATGAAAACGAACCTAACATCTGGAATGTTAAGTATGGTCTGCTTCGATGAGCCAGTCATCCTCTGAGGGTCCTTCTACCAAAAGCGTCTGGTCAGCCACTTCATTTCAAAGACATGAATAGGAAAGTAAACTTTCCTACATTTGGGCATCTTAAAAGCTTGTGCAAGTGTCAACTTGGATAATTTTTTCATCTAACGCCTAATCCATATCCCTGAGTACTGGGTCCGGTGGTATCACTGTAGGGTGGGATCAAATGGTGTCCTTGTCAGACCTGGGCCAGGTGATGGACCTACCGCTTGTGAGTCGGTTTGCCATTCAATCCACCATCTGTGCCAAGCTGAGGTGGGTAAACCTGCCCAGCGTTCCCGTTTACCGGTAATTACCAGTTTTTTACCGGTAAAATTAGGCTTGGACTGGTAATTCATGTGACTGCCAGTCCCTGTGGACCGGCAAATAAAGTACCTTAGAAATCTTTGTTGTTGAACAAAACATTGGTGATATTCATATAACTACAATTTTCAAACAAAGTCAGCTTGTCTGTTACCATCAGGGTTTCCCCTTGTCTATTTCTAGGTTAAATATCCATTTGTAGCGACTTCGTCTCAAAATATTAAAAAAAGAAGAAGAGAAAATTGTGACTGAAGTTAGCGTGAATGACATATAGACCTAACTAAGTTACTTCAGAGATGACATCTTTGCACTGAACATTATGTTGAAAGAATTGAAAACAAATAATTTTCATATTTTCTTTTATTTGTTGAAAGTTGAGACTGGCAAAAATTAGGGGGGACTGGAGATTTTTAAAGTTGCCAGTCCCCAAGGACTGGCAGTTTCAAAAGACAGCGGGAACACTGCAGGCTACCACAGATGAATCCCAATCCTCATCCGATGAACCTTCAGAAGACTCGGAGCGGTAGCAATTCCCATACCGATGAGCGGCTTCTAGTGCGGTGCGTAGGCCTCGCGGGTGGAGACCCAACCCCGAGATAATATATCCACATAGGGGATGTAGCATAAAAGGTAATTGACGTCGTACCAGTCTACGTGGATGGCATAGATGGTCTCACAAGTGTCTGATGTACAGCAGACGCTGACGTACTCACAAGTACTTGTGTTGTCTCCGGCGTTGAGGCTCAGCGGCAGGAGTGGCTGGTACATTGCCGCCAACGCTAGATACCACTGTGTCATAGACTGCTACCACATGGTCATTTTGAAGGCGTAGAATGTATCAATGGCATCTGGTACAGCAGGCGCTGATGTAATAGTAAGGGCTAGGGCTATTTCAGGTGCTAGTGGCATGTAGCTGGTGCATCAGCACAAGCACTGGATACCTCTGTCATAGACTGCTGCCACAAGGGCAAACCAGTCTATGTGGCAGGTGGAGGTGGAACATGATGCATGATGAAACCCACACATGTGCTGATGTGTCGGCCCTAGTCGACGGCCATGCTGGTCGACGTGGAGCGCTCAGCTGGAGTCGCTGACGTCTGGTGTGAGGCAGATGTTGATTGGATTGGATTGGATTGGAACACAGGCACAAGTGCCTGATCCATCTGTGATGTATGGTGCCATAGGCTGTGTGTACATAGGTTGCCCTAGACCGGGTAGATAGGTGGTGCAGCTCTAAGCTGACCCAGCATTGAAGACATCGCAGGATACGCTGGAAGCCCTGAGGCTGTAGTCATTGTTGAAGCATCCAGGAGGGCGTAGGCAGATGCTGCGCTTGGCACAAGCCCTTGTGATGAGACGCCTGTAGGTGTTGACTGGATCATGGCTTGGCCGGGTTCAACCCAGTAGAAGCGCCCAGGGACCGTCACTGTGGAGGCCATAGATACCTGAAAAAATTAATCAGGTGCGACACTCACGATTGAGTCCGAAGTCGTAGTACATGGAGTTGAATGAATGTCAGCAGCCACTTGAGGACAGTAGCGTCCTGCGACTGAGACATCTTCCTTGCAGCAGCATGGGACTGCTGTAAAATACGCTTGTGAGTGACTTACCTAAAAATGGAGAACCTCGGTGAAGAGAGAGGTGAACAAAAATTTGAAGTTTGGAGTGCAAACCTGAGTGCAAAACTGCATGTGTTACACAAAATTAGAAGTTGTAGTTGAAGAAGACTTGAGCATGCCAAAGAAGACCACACGGTTGCAATCGGCAAATATTTTTTAAAGTTTATAAAATACAAACGCCCCAAAACACTATGCCAAAGGCTACAGGTATTTAAATATACATAAGCATGTTAATACCTAACAAAGAATTGCAAACAAACTTGACTATCTCGGTAAGAGATGAACAAATGTAATGCAATTTCAAAATGGCAGAAACAACAAGCCAGGTGGTGGGGGTCTTTTTACAAGGAAAACACTCGCATATAATTATTAATACACAATCAAGTGAAAATAATATGAAAGGAATACATCACTCATCGCAGTGTGGTAGCAGTATGCCAACCACTGAATTAAAAGAATAGATCATGGGAGAGCCAAGTGAGACATGTCCTTCCCTGTCGACGACAAGCAGTAATATGATTTGATGTGAAGTCACATCCGGTCACATGACAGTGGCGAGTTCTACAAAAGGTTGTAAGGTTAGCAGTAAATGCATTAAGGAGTAATGCAGGATAAATAAAATTTTTTTACAAACCTGTAGAGGTTATGAATTCTCTGATGAAATCCTCCTTGGGGCACTTATTGCATTTTCCTGGCTCAAGAAAATCTACATGACATAGTTGTAACCATTTTCCTTAATAAAAATTGTTACCACACAAAAAACTTTGTTTTTGTATGATATACGTCCACCCTTATGGTGCCTCACCCTCCACGGCGCGTCACGCCAAGGGAAGCAACTCTCACCCAAATCACTTTCCATATGTCTAATGCTGACGGAATGTGGGGAGGCGGGTGGCCGTGCCCCAAGGAGGATTTCATCAGAGAATTCATAACCTCTACAGGTTTGTAAAATTCTCTTTCAGATTAAATCCTCCTTGGGGCACTTATTGCATCAAGATAGACTCCTAAAGATAATCTAGGAAGTGGCATCCGTCAGCAACAAGCGTGCATAAATACATCGTATTTTGATTATTTCAATGAATAAACAAGAGTTCAATAAATGGAACCAACCTTATCGTGAGGCACCACCGTCGAAAGGCGGGGGCTGGAGACAGGGCGTTATCGACCATACACAATGAAAAGAGCCATTCTTTGTGGCTTATCATATCGAGAACTCGAGACACACACACCCCCCACCCCACCCACTTTTTTGAACAAGTGATATTGGGGGCACAGATCACGAGAGACTATAAACCCGCACAGAGCTAGGCCAGAGGGTCCCCGTAATCGAAGGAGTGCATGTGCAATTACGATGATTATCGACTAGTAATGGCTGGTATTGTATCGACCGTAGAAGATAAAATCCGGACCGTTACTGAGCAGTGTTATAACCGGTCCGGGCGGTCTAAAATCTCGAAGGCTCAATCGGCTAGAGATGTAGAACTTTGCCCAGTTCGGAGAACTGACTGACCAAACCGAGCACGCTCGCTTGAGTGTTTGTCGAGTTGGTAATGTTTGATGAACGTGCTCGGCTGGCTCCAAATAGCCGCGGAGCAGATCTCCTCAATGGGCAGA